GTGAGCCCACACAGGCGGCTGACCTAACACTGCCCAGCAGAGCTTGCCCCAAACATCAGGCCTGGACACCAGGAGTCCTGACTCACTACTCACAGGGACTTGAGGCCTGGCTGGACCACCAGGGCCCCTGACCCCTCACTCCTAGTGTCTCAATCCCTACAGAGGCTGCCCCTGGGGAACTGCTTCAATGTGGGTCTAGGTAGAAAGAGAGGGAGGGCTGGTGGGACGGCCTGCCTGGCACAGGAGGCTGGAGGGCCCACCTGTCCCCTGTTGCCCCCACCCCAGTGCCTGCTGCCTGCAACCCCCAGTCCCATCACAGCCTTCCTCCAAGGGAGACCAGAACTGGGCAGTGACAAGCAATCATCCGGCAGGCTCAGCAGGGAAGTCCAGGCCCCCTGACTCGGTGTGCGGACCTTCCAGGATACAGAAGGAAGGCCCTGGGGGTCACCCGCCCTACACCCTGCCAAAGTCCCTGACCGGGCCTGGCTGGCCCCACGCCTGCCCAGACATAGCCACGGGATCCACAACATCAAGGCTGCCTCAATTCAGGGCCCAGCCAGGGTCCCACCCAGGAAGAGGGAGAGGTGTGGATTGACTGGTTGGCAGGATGTAGTGAAAGGGAGCTGGAGAAGATTCTAGAAGGGAAGGGAGGATGAGGCACAAACATTCCAGGTGGGAAGTGGCTTGAGCCCCCAGAGCTGAGGCAGAAGGGTTCTGGGATGTGATAGCTGCAAGAACAGCTGGGACAAGGACTGTCCGCAGGTGCTTCTGGGAGGCCAGAGGGCAGGGCTGGTGGGAGAGCAGCCCTCTCCTGAGAGTGTGCCTCCCTGCCTCCACCTCTGGCTTCCTGGTTCTGGCTCAGGGCAGGGCAGGGAGGGGTGAGGAGGAGCTGTGGCCTCCAGCGAGCCCTGTACACACTGTCCCACCCTGGGGCACAGTGATTAGGTATGTGCAGGGGCGGTCTGGGCTGGGGCAGAAGAAATATTTAGAGGCTACTGGTTACCTGGAGGAATGCCCACATTGCTTGGGCTCAGAAAAGGCCGTAGGAGCCAGAAAGGATACCGAGGATACTGGCTGAAGGCAGGTTCTCCTCTGCACCCTCACCTCCTCCAGGAAAGGACCTCCTGAGGGAAGGTTGGAGCAGCCCCCTCCTCCTCTCCTAGGCCAGCTCTTGGTGACTGCACGCCAGTCTTTGCCTGGGTGACTGATTCACCCTGGGTGCCTGCAGGCACTAGGAGCTCCAGGTCCCAGGCACATCATCGGGGTGACTGCCCCGCCCCAGCTCTCACCCACGATGGGGTTGCCTACACCCCTCCCCAGGGAGAGGTACTGATCTGATGGTCTGCACTGCAGGTGACCTTGAAGCACTGATCCAATGGTCTGCACTGCAGGCGACCTTGTCTCTTGACAGCTCCCCAGCTCCCTTAAACACTGGGCTGATTCTTTTCTAAGTTCCTGGGCAGAGTTTTGAAGATGGATCCAACAGAACCTCTTGGTATCTCTCAGAATCACAGGATGGCAGGTGTTTCTGGGACCCAAGGACTTCATCCCAGGTGCTTTCCTCCCAAAGGGGTGGGCTTCAGGCCACGGTACAGGACAAATCTGGACATGTGTGCCAACCCTGTCATGGGTTAATGCTGCTGCAGCAAATGCCATTATTTTTGTTTTGCTTCAGCCCCTCTGGGTTCTGTACCAGTCTCAGCTGGAGAAACAGGGACAGGCAGGTGTCCCCTGGTTCAGCACAGAGCCCAAGCCCTCCCTGCCCCGCCAGCCGCCCCAGAGACTGAGGGACCACCACCCTTCTGTGGGGGGTGGTGCCCCCTGCTTCCCTGGAGTTGGGCCTTGTGCGGGGGAGAGGGAGCTGCTTCCTTCCACGTGCCCCTTGCTAACTTCCAGTCTCCCATGATGTGTGTGTCCATTTTAGTATGAAATATTTTAGACACACAAAAATACTTTGAGCATCCCTCCAAGGCCCCAGGGGCCACTGCTCTGTGCCTCCCCCATCCCCTCCCTCCCACTCCAAGAGGATACATCAGTCCAGAATTGGGGGGGTTATTTCCATGTATGAACTGCGTATTTCTTTAATATTGGATTTTTTTTTTTTAACAAAGAAAACAAAATGAGGCCGCCCACAGTAGCTCAGGCTCATAATCGTAGCACTCTGGGAGACTGAGGTGGGTGGATTACCTGAGCTCAGGAATTCGAGACCAGCCTGAGCAAAAATAGAAAAGCTAGGCAGGTGTGGTGGTGGGCACCTGTAATCCCAGCTACTCGGATGCTGGGGCAAGAGCATAGATAGCTTAAGCCCAAGAATGTGAGGTAAGGTTGCTGTGAGCTAAGACAACACTGCACTTCATCCTCGGCACAGAGTGAGACTTTGCAAAAAGAAGGAAGGAAGGAAGGGA